GAAAGCCGAGGAGATGATAGAAGCATAAACCTCAACTAGGCATGCCGAGATGGTTAATAGAAGCATATCCCCCGGCTAGGAATACCTAGGAGATGATAAAGCATAGCCCTCGGCTAGGCATGCCGAGAAGGCCGAGGAGATGATAGAGGCATAACCCTCAACTAGGCATGCCGAGATGGTTAATAGAAGCATATCCCCCGACTAGGCATATCGAGGAGATGATAGCTAGAGGCATAGCCCTCGTCTAGGCATGTCGAGGCGATTGATCGAAGCATGGCCTTCGGCTAGGTATGCTAAGGGGGTAGCCAGGCAAGCCGAGGGGATATGCTGGCAGGCCGAGGGGGGAGCCAAGCAAGCCGAGGGGGTATGCTGGCAGGCCAAGAAGGTATGCTGGCAGGCCGAGGGGGTAGCCAGGCAGGCCGAGGGGGTATACTGGCAGGCCTTCGGGGTAGCCAGGCAAACCGAAGGGGTATGCTGGCAGGCCGAGGGGGTAGCAAGGCAGGCCAATGGGGTAGTCAGGCAGGCCGAGGGGGTATGCTGGCAGGCCGAGGGGGTAGCCAGGCAGGCCGAGGGGGTATGCTGGCAGGCCGAAGGGGTAGCCAGACAAGTCGAGGGGGTATGCTGGCAGGCCGAGGGAGTAGCCAGGCAGGCCGAGAGGGTATGCTGACATGCCGAGGGGGTAGCCAGGCAGGCCGAGGGGATAGCCAAGCAGGCCGAGGGGGTATGCTGGCAGGCCGAGGGGGTAGCCAGGCAGGCCGAGAGGTTATGCTGACATGCCCAGGGGGTAGCCAAGCAGGCCGAGGGGGTAGCTAAGCATGCCAAGGGGGTATGCTGGCAGGCCGAGGGGGTAGCCAGGCAGGCCGAGGGGTATGCTGACATGCCCAGGGGGTAGCCAGGCAGGCCGAGGGGGTAGCCAGGCAAGCCTAGGGCCTTGATGTTTGGTGGGGCATGCCGAGAGCCTAATGTAGACTAGCTGGGGGCTCGGCTTGCCCATGATTCTTGAATTGTTCATTTCATTTTAGTGAGTTGTAAAATGATGAGATCTCAGCTTGTATAAGGGTTTGCTTCTAATATTTTCCTCGACTTCATGCTTATGCCAAGCTGAGAGATTCGAGATTCTCTAGTAGCATCTTGATATGTGCTGCGGAGACGCCTAGTGTTCACCATGACTTTTTGTTAGCAATCCCCACAGACGGCACCACTTGTTTCTGGAAACATAATGCTCCTTGGAGTCTTAGGGTAGTAAGGTATCAAGATGTCCTAAAGCTATGTCCAATGAATGTCCGAATTTCCCTCCGTTATGTCTTGCTGTCCGAGAGCTAGGCCTACAAAAGAGAAAGAAGGTTAACTGTCCCGGGGGTGTGACCCGGGAAAGTCCCTTCGATGCTAAAGTTAGCGAATGTACTTTCTAGAGAGAGAAATTAGAGAGATAAAGTAGAGAGAAGGTTAGAGAATTAGGAAAAATTTACCATCATTAATGATTGGAGAGCTATTTATAGATATACTTTCAGGTGGCAGAAGTTGTACTTGTATAGACATATTAGGGATAAATTCGTACTTTACTCTGTTAATGATGGGTTGGATCATGGAGGGGTATTTTCGTAATTCCAGGTCAATGGGCTTAGGACAATGGACTTGGCCCAAACACCACCGAATACCCATCCAACCCACTGACAACAGCCTACGTCGTCTTCTTCTTCGTCGTACCAGATCTGGAATGAGTTTGAAGGAGGAGGGAGAAAGGTAATGGGAAGATGAAGAAGGTGAAAAATTAGGGTATGAATGAGAAGAAATTGGATGATTTTGAATTAGTTTGGTTGATTTCAATGAGTTATTGGGGGAGATGAATTAAATTTGATAGGAGCAGTTAGATTAATTAGGTTAGATTAGTAATTAATTAATCATGTCTTTAAGAATATAATTTATGCTCTAAAGTTTTAAGTAAGGGTATTTTTGTAATTTTATTAATTTTTTTTTACTAAATATAGAAATGTTTGGAAATGTTGCACATAATCTTTAGCGTTCATTTTTAGTAAAAGTTGCAGATAATGGTTAACGGAGATAGTAATTAAAGTGTATTATGGATTTGAGTTTATTTCATCCGACTTTCATTAAAACAAAGATTTTTTGAAAATAATATACTCATAAATAATATTTGGTACAAACATAAAAAATAAAAAAATAAAAACAACACTTTCTCCGTTCCAATAATATTGCAATAAGGATGAAATTACACATATAGCATTATTTTATATGTCAAAATATCTATAATTATGTAAGAGTAAAAATTATAAAGAGTTGACATTGTGAGAGTATTTTATGACGCAAATCTAACAAGACCACACACGACTATATTTTGTTTAACATATAAATTATACTCGTATTATATGGTCAAATAAGAGTAATGAATAGTGTAAAAGTCTCATTGTTGTAATATCATTGGAACGAAAGAAATATATAGATGCATAAATTCTTTGAAGCTGATCCTACTTAACCTATTTCTGTGACAATTTCACCTCTCCAACTAATAGATAAGCATGATGTCAAATACACAAATGAGCAACTAGAAATTTCTCGAAATCAGCCAATCATTTTTTTTTTTTTTTATCAAAATCGCAACTAGCCCTAACCCTAATTACCCCCAAAAAATATTACATATACGAAGTACTTAGACCATCTCCAATGAGTATTTTTAGGAAAGAGATACTCCGTAGTTTTTTTTTTTTTTTTTTTTTTTTTTTTTTTTTTTTTTTTTTTGCAATATATACCAATAAGTTGGTATCTAAAATTAGTAACTCCAAAATAAAATTGCTAACTTTAGATACTCAATTTTGAGTCTCATTTGACAAAAAATGTGGACCCTTATTAATATTCTAATATATTTTGTAATTTATTTAAGTTTTACATTTTTTTAATTATTTTTTAATCTTATAATAATTGATGGGTTATAAATTGAAAGTGACATTTGTATATTTTTTTCGAGAGTCTCACCATTGAGAATTTAAACTTTATATGAGTTGCTAAATTGAAAAGTGGGTATGGTAATACCATTAGAGGTAAAAAAAAAACGACTTATTTTGTATTTTAATACTCAAACTTGAGTCTCACCATTAGAGATTGTCTTATGGAGCCAAAACAAATGTGGAAACCCAAGAGAATAAGAAATTATGAAAGAAAAATACAAAAGAAGAAAATCAGATGCTCTGACATTTTTGCATAAAAAGAAAATGACAGCATAAACACAGCTCATAGCCAACCAAGTCTTATTTGGCCCATTTTACTAAACATAAATAATTTAATTTCACTACTACAAATCCTTTCTTTTCTCAGATCAAGTTGACAAAAATAAATAAAATGGCTGCTCATAAAATCATAATAATGCCTAATAATAACAATAAAATTTCATTGAGTTAAAAAAAAAAAAAAAAAAAACAATACTTTCAATAAGTTTTGTTTCTTCTTTCAAAAAAAAAAAAAAATAAGTTTTGTTTCTATACTTTGCTATGCGTTGGGCCATGGACCCCGCTATGTTCACATGGCCTATTTGGTTGATGCACATGTATAAAACCTCTATTTTTTACCTGTCAATTCTTAATTAAGCCCATAATTTAGGTCCAAATTGACCCAAATAAAAAATAATATAAAGAAAAATAAAAAGAGAAAGATACTTGTTTTAATTTTATTAATTTAGAGAAAATAGATTTGAAAAGTAAGAGGGAACAAAGGTGTCCAAGCCAAGTAAGGCATTTTTATGAATTGTTATGGTGTGCTGTCAATGGGGCCCATGAAAGTGACTTACTGAAAACAATGCTTTGCTTAACTCTATTAACTCTAATATTAGCGTGTCAGCCACTCACTATCTTGATGTTACATTGAAACCCTCTTCTTCTTATTTTACTTAACCTAATTGTCAATTTACATAGCCATCACTAGCACTATTATTAGCCTTCAAATTGTATTTGTATGTTGAATTGTTCATGCTTCACCTTTGTATGTCGATGGTGTCCTGTAAGAGCTATAACTAAATCGGTCTTGTACTTACTATCTTCTCTCGAATGAGTTCTGAACTAGATAAATAATTCTTCCATTATGTGATGAGTGATGTAAGTGACAAAGAATATACGTACCGATTAACAATTTTGTAATAAAAAACTGTTAGTTATTGAAATTGAACGATGGTCCAACATTACTTTCAAAGTTAAATTATGCACATTTTTAATATTCACGATTTTTGACACATCTTCTTCCTATATATTTCGTTTTGATTTAAAGTGCAACTTATCTCAAGCCACCCAAGCATAAAGTTCCAATGCTCTCTCACTCACGCGCCACTATAAGAGAACCATCCTTTATTTTTCCCGTACGATAACTTATCAACAATGCATTCCTAGACGACTTGCACACAAGGCAAGCTAATGTTCCTTTGACCTAAAAGAATAATGAAAGAATATGAAATAGAGGGATTGGAAGACTAACTAGTTTAATTTCTTCATCTTTTTAAAGCAATTTCTCTACTTATCTAGTTACCTTCCTCGAGAAGCAATGCTTGATCGTAACTTCGTAAGGTTTGTTGAATAGAAACATCCAAGTACCTAACCTTAACCCCTATAACAATAATCACTACTCCGTAAAAGATAAACAAGTAATTTATTTAGTTAGTAAACTCTTTAATTTGGTTGTTAAAATTTTACAAATAATTAGTTGATCACTACCAAATTCTTGAATTTAAAGATACTACTCATATTACTAATTTCTTCAACCTTCTTTCCAATTAACAATTAACAACATAAATTGCAAACAAATGGAAAATTCAAAAGTTCCTTGAAAAAATATCAAACAGAAAATGCCATCTGTATACAGTAGTGGAGGTCCTGCATTATTGTCGGCCAGAAAAAACAGAGGAAAGTGATGAAAAAGAAACGTCAATTTTTTCTTTCTTTTGTCAAATTCTTCCCCAATGCACCGTTTTTGTCTTGGATTTTGTTTTGTTTTTTAACCTTAAACAATATGTACTCCAATTTAACACACTTTCACCAATCCAACAACGTAAATTCTTGTATTAGAGTCACATTTACACCAATCGACAACGTAAATTCTTGTATTAGATGGTCACATTTACACCAATCGAACAATAAAAATTTAGGCAAAAATACGTAAACATAATCAAAGAAGGATGAATCCGAAAAATTCTACTATTCTGTTTATTTTTTTTTCTTTCATTCATATAGGTACAAGAAAAATAGACCTCAAAATTTGGTTCCCAAGAAAAGAACCCGGAAATTATAATATCTTTCAAATTAAAAAATCGAAATGTACGAATTAAATGCATCCTCATCTTCCCAATCTGTACATCCTCATCTACCACCATTTCTACCAAAGAATTCAAACCCCCTAAAAAATTAATAAAAAAAATTCACCCAATTTCCCCTTGTTTTTCTGGAAAGAATCTGTAAAAATAAAAAATAAAAATGAATTGAAATTGACTTACAACCATCCAATTAAAGAAGAAGCAGAACCCACAAACCCAGCAAACTGCTGTTGTTGACGATGAATCTCTCTCTCTCTCCTCCCTTTAAACAAATCATAGGGCTCCCAAAGATGATCCAACGGACACGGTTTCTTCCCATCAAGCCTCACCCATGGCTTCCCTTTTCCACTCCAATGCAACAAACTCACTGGACCTGGATGAAGCGATCTACACGAACCTCGAACATTATCACCCCCTAATCCATGTTGATTCCATCTGTGATCAATCGGCTCAATTCGACCTCCAAAAACCAGTAAAAATGGCGGCAATGAACCCAGCTCATATATCCTCGTTTTCTTCTGGATTTCCATCCAACTCTCGATTTTACTCCTGTAATTTCCCAACCTCCATTGATGTAGATCCATCACCATTACACCCGTATTGAAGTAACAGGGTTTCCGGGTTGTTGACCCGAATGCGGTGGTTTTATGATTCGGGTCGGACCAAAATGTGGAAGTAAAATACATTGTGAAATTCGCGTGACAATATTCCGGAGCTCCGATTATATGAGAGGAGGAAAGAGAAGTGTTCCAGAGTTTGTAGATGTCGTCGACGAGAATAAGGTCCGAGTCGAGGTAAATGACCCGGTTAACACACGGGTCAAGAATGTCACCCAGATAGTTTCGGGCGTAGTTTAACGGGTTTTCGAGTGCGACCCGAATTGAGGAAGAGATTAAGTTGATTACAGAGTCTTCTCGAAAGATGTAGACCTTGAAGTTCAACGAAGGGAACGTTGACCGAACGAGTTGACTCAGGACGCGAGGTGAGAGGGAGTCGAACTCGGCGGCGATGAAATGGAAGAAGATGTTTTCTGGGCAGGAGGAGTGTTTGAGGACGGAATGGACGGCGGCGATTGAGCCACGTAAGTACTCGTAGTCAAGAGTCATTGCCACGTGGACCAATGAGGGGTCGCAGTGAGTGAAAGGGGAGGAAGTTGAAGAGCAGCCTACGCCGTTACGGTAGTCCGGCGCTTCAGAGAAGTGTAGCAGGTGGTGAAATTTCAAATTTGCCCCTGATCTTGAGAGGGATCGGATGCCTAAGCAAGAAGGAGAGAAGAAGCAGAGGATTGTTAAGAAAGTGAATAGGAGAAGTAAAACGACGGCGTTCCACCGGTGATGGACCGCCATTGCTCGTTTCTTGATAAACAGCTTCTTGTTCTTCTGAAATGCTATGATGAATTTCTGTAGATTTTTACTTTTTTATTTTTATTTTTTTGTGGGTGAAAATGAAATTGAAAGTGGAAGTTAAAAAATCATATGATATGATTTGGAATGATATGGGTATTTGGATTCAAAGGAAAGAAAAGATATGGAGGAGAGTAAGAAGAAAAAGGAAGAAGACGAGTCTTTAAGAGAGGAGAGAGAGAGAGAGAAGGGAAGGTGTATTTATATAGAGTAGTGCGAAACAGAGTAGGAAAATGAAAGAATTAAAACGAGGAAAGAGTTTTTTTTTTAAAAAAAAATAAATAAAAATTATTGAAGGTAAATTTGGAGCTGCGGCAGAAGAAATGTATACAAAGTAGGACCGCGTCAATGTGCTACGAGAGTACTCCCTCCATTTCTTAATAAGAGCCCATAAAAAAAAATAAAGTCTTCTTGTAATTATATAGCGCATCTTGTTTAATTCATGTCGAAATATTTAAATTAAGTGAGTCTTTCCTCAAGATTGTAGTCGAAATATTTATGATGAAATTGAATGAGTAGCTATTTATTAACTAATGTGAAAATAAAATGTTGCAAACGTAGGAGGAAATGAACTAGTAAAAGAAGTACGGAGTAATTCTTAACCGAGTACTTTAAAATTATGAAGTAATACTCATATTTATAGGACGCATTTGGTTCGATTCATGCCGAAAATATTTATAGCTACATATTTATTGACTAATGTGAAAATAAAATGCTGTGAAATAGGTGTTATTGATTTTAGAGACGGTAAAAAAAAAAAAAAAAAAAGTGTTGCTAAAAGGAGTACTCCGTACTGGTATTTATAGTGTGGGAAATATGACGCGGTTTTGATTAGGGATTTAAAGTAAAGTAGTGAAGTATTGAATGTATGGTTACGGATGTAACATGAGCGTAACACGTTATTAGGAAGATGGAGATGTTTTTTTTTGGGTGAGACTGAAGATGGAGATGTTAATTGGGAGCTTATGTTAAGGAAATTTAAAAGTTTGTTATTTTGGGATATATCTTATCTTTTATGGTTTTGATATTTGACAACTAGACTATAGACTGTTTGATTATATTCAGATTTTTATTTTCAAGTTTAAAAGCATAGTGGGTTCTCAATTAATCCTCTATTCAATTAAATTTAATCCCTTATCCTAATTTTCCCTCCTTTCAAACTCTATATTTAATACAAAGTATCGAATTAAGTGTTAAAGCATGTTTGACAGTAACTCTTTAATTTTTAGAGGTTTGACTATATACCATTTGAAAATATTCATTCATTTCCGTTATTGTAGATTTGACAATATTTGAGATAACGTTTTCAACAGAGGATAAATATTACGATTACTTTTATCAAATCCATATTACATATTACTCCGTATTTAATAAATTTATTCTTAACAAATACTTCAGTAACATTTAAGTTATAACTGATTACTTTAGTGTTGGCCATTCTAAAAAAAAAAAAAGTGAAGATTATTTTTAAAAAGTAACCAAAAAATTTTATAGGTTTTGCACATAAATCATATAGTAAAACCAAATATGTCATTGTTATCTTATTCCTTGACTTTTCAAGTGGAGAGTTAGTTGAGGGAAACCCCAACTCAAACTAGTTTTTGGATAGTCAATAATTCTATATACTTCGTACAGGTTTTCCCTCTTTTTTTTTTTTTTTTTTTTTGGTTGTTGTTGTTGTTGTTGAATACTCCTTTCGTTTTAAAATATTTGCTCCATTTCTATTTTTTGCACTATTCATTTGTCTTACTTTGACTAATGTTTGTGATTTATACATAAGAAAAAATATAGTCTTATGGGTTCTTGTTGGAATCATCTCAATGAATAGATTATTAATTTTCAATTGTTAGAATTTATACTTATTGATAATTAAATATATTAGTAATAAAAAAATTAGCATTGACATGCGTGTTCAAGAGAAATGGAACAAGTATTTAAAAACGGAGGGAGTAGGAGTTATTATTTGTAAACTGGAGTGCATATGAAACTAAAAAAATTGTACCGAGTATGAATAATTTTTTTGTTTTTTCTTTAAAAATTCTTCACACTTGGTATTCAGAAAATTTACTTTGAATTGTTCACATTTATTTAATTTCAGTTTAGTTCAACTCTAATCAGCTCAGTTCAGTTCAGCTTTTAATTTTCCTCTCTCATAAAATATTCAGTTCAGTTCAGTTTAGTTCAGCTCCAATCAGTTCAGTTCAGTTCAGTTCAGCTCAATTCAGTAAATGTGAACATACCCTAAACTTACCATGCAATCATGCATGCATAATTTTACAATCAATTATGGTAAAGTTTTCAAGCTTTGAAGTTTGAGGTTTATTTTTCCTTTTTAAATTTTTTTTTAATAAATAAATATACATTAATGTTTAGAGTTCCTTTTTTTTTCTCAAAAAAGAACTCTAAAAATATGTGTACTTCTACCTTATGCTTCAGACTAATTTAAGGCATGCATACAACTTTATTTCAAAAAATATAAAGAATTCCTGCATACAACTTGTGCATTATATATATTTATTGCAATTTGCAAAATTTAATTAGTATACACAATTATACAGTACATATCAATGAGGACCCTATAAATGCCAAAATGTTAGTTTAGGTGATATTTAAACATCGTTTGTTAGTGATAATAATCTGCAGGGAATCACATTAGGTGAATATTAGCATCTTCCAACAAATAATGGCCAAAAAACAGAAGAAATTTCGTTTTTATTATACCAAAACAAATATCCCCGTCAAATTAAAAAGAGTTGCCCACCTTAGAAATACTAGTACGTACTCAGAAAAAAAAATAATAAATAAATAAATATATATATAAAATACTAGTACGTAAAAAAATATTCTTGTTCACATTATTTAAGCTAGTATGTAAAATTCTCCTTATGTTCCTATGTATTTATCTCATGATTAATTGTACATACGAGATTTTTGTAAAAGGCGAAGAAAAAACAGTATGCAAGTAAGGGTCTGTTCATATTTACTGAACTGAACTGATTGGAGCTGAATTGAACTGAACTGAACTGAACTGATTGGAGCTGAACTGAACTGAACTGAACTGAACTGATTGGAGCTGAACTAAACTGAACTGAACTGATTGAAGCTGAAATAAACTGAACTGAACTGAAAATAAGTAAATATGAACGGGCCCTAAGTTTCATTATACTCTGCTCATCAACTACTGTCCTATATTCAAAAAAAAGTTGAAAGTTTGAATCAAAACTACTGTCCTATATTTAGAATGTTTCCCAAAAAAAAAAAGTTGGATTATGTGTGACATCCAACTCAACCGAAATTAGAAGAAAAGGAAAATGGGTCAAATAAACTGAAAATACAAATAAAAATGATCTGATAAGGTAATAATTAGAGTTAAGTATTACTCTCCATAACTAATTAAGTTACATTTCCTACGTTTCATATTAGATGACACATTTCATTTAGGAACGTTTGCTAATACATACTTTCTTATGCAAATATCCTTGATTACATATTAGCAATAATTATAAAAATTTAATATTTGATAAATATATGTTGATATGACGAAACTAACAAGGTCCCACATGACTACGTTTTTTCTCAATACAAAATCACAAAACGAACTCAAAGCAAGTTATGTAAATAGTGCACAAAGTCAAACTGTGTTATATAAGCTGGAATAGAGAAACTATATTGTAATCGTTTTTTCCTTTTCCTCTTATTTTGTGAATCAAATAAAAAGGTTCAATTCAAACTATCAACTTATGTAATAGTCTATATGATGATATGCAACGTGCATATTGCTAAAATAATATATTAGGACTTGATCAATATAAATTAAAAAATACAAGTACGAAGTATTTGGTTGAAGACTTGGTTATGTAACCCTATGGCCTATGTTGCGCGTTGAACAAGCGTGTTCATTGATTGCATGATTGCAACCAAAAGAGAGAAAAAAAAAAAAATAATAATACGAGTAGCATATAACATCCCTCATCTTTGACAATTCAAGAATAGTCTAGGAAGTTTGTATGTTATTATTGCATGCGATTTTATGAATACGACCTTCCAATTGTCATATAGTCGAACCCCTTTTATAAATGCGCCACGCATTTGAAGAATTTTCTAATATCAATCTATTAGTAATAATGAGCATTTTGTATAATAGTAAAACCCTAACTACCCAGTAAATAAAGAAGCAAATATTTGAGAGTAACAAGTAAGGCTATTACTCGTGGAAAAAATTTATATTACATCTCACAATCACAATCAAATCCCCATTTTGAGGAGAGGAGATTTCCTTAATTACCTTCCTTCAATCCTTCCCCACTCCTAAGATAAAGGGACTTGTCCGTTAAATCAAACTAGGTAGACTGTGTGAAGTTTTGGATTGATAAGATTTTCTCTTTGGCTAACAAAAAAAAACATGATAACTAGTTCGTTTGGCATCAAGGATGCACGGACACGCCAAAAATCTGAAGAGTCCGAGTCGACACGCGTGTCGGACACGGACACGGATGAGACACGGGGCGACACGTGTCCGACACGCAGAAAACCGTGTCCGATTTTTTTTAACCGTTTTTGATTTTTGGACACGGGCCGTGTCTTGGGCTGACACGGGCCGTTTTGGTATGGACACGCGAAATACCTAAATTCCTATGCTTTGCCTCTCTACCTCTTTCCAAGTTTCCAGTTCTCAAACTCTCAATCCTCTCATCCTCTCAAGTCTCAACTGAACCCCTTGCTGCTCACTTGCTCAGTCGTCGACTTGTAGGTCTCACCGTACCGCCGGCTTGCTGTCTCCGTCACCGCCACTCGCCTCCTTGCCGGTTGTCAGGGTTGCTGGCCTGGCCCTTGCTGCTCGTGGCCTTCATCTCTCATTGTTGCGGGGGTTGCTGGAGTTGCTGGCCTGGCCCTTGCTGTTCGCCTGCTCGTCCTCAGCCACCACCTATCACTCCACCGCCCACCTTGTCGCCCGTCGTCCGTGTCAGCCACCAGGTATGGTTCTTCTCTACTTTTTTTTTTTTTTTAAATTCAATTAAAGTTCTGAATATGCATCCTTGGATGTCGAGAAGTGAGAGAATGGAGTCTGGGAGAGAACTTAATCGGTCTTCATTTTCTGAGTCTCCGCCATTGTTGTCTTTAATGGAGCTCAATTTCAGCCTTTTCGTGCTTATTTCTTGGTGTTCTGCCATTCAACAATTGAGCTCCATTGTTATCTTTACTGGAGCTCAATTTCTGCCATTCAACAATTGCTGTGATTCTGAAGTGAATTCGAGTAATGCTAATTTGGGGAATTTTTTAGGGTTTTAATCAGTGTAAGTGTGTAAGAACTTCTGATTTTCTGAAATTCAATTGCTTCAATAATTCAATTTGTAGTTCGTCGTCAGCCAGACAACCACCGCCCACCACCG